GTGGAGGGGGTTAGTGGTTCTTTCCATTTACATTGTTTATATTTGTTTTCATGTATATTTCTGCAGCTTCTACCCACTGCTTCAAATTTTCATCTCTGGGGCCAAGCAAAACACGTTTAATCTCCTCCATATGGCAGCTGTTGAGATGTGCATGGCATTTGCTGTCCTGCTTAGAATGTAACCTCCTGAAAAGCAGGGACCACTTCATTTTTGTCTTTGTACTCCTAGGAGCTAAGACAGCTATTATAAGGTGCTTAATAAATGCATGTTGATCACTGCCTCCTCTCAATGTACTCTTCTCCAGGCTAAACATAACAAGCTCCTCTAGCTACTCTTTGTATGACAGCTTTAGGATTTGGTTTTGGTTTATTTCCACCCCCCCAAACCCAGCCAGGAATAGAGGAAGGGCAAAAAATACATTTAAATTAATTTCTTTGCCAATAATTTAGTGCAGTTGAGCATGAAATTCTTATATTAAAAATTAAAGGAAGTTTCCATTTTTTTTTTAAAGAAAGTTTATCTGCAGAATATAGCCCAGAACAAACAGAGAAAAAAAAATAGTTTGGTCCTATTGTCTAAAAAAGCACAGTAGTTATTTAGAATAGGTAAAGAAAAAGTTATCTGCAATCTAGGCTTTTTCAAAGAACCCCATTTTTAAATTGTATCCTTCATAATAATAGTTACAACTTATATTGCACTTTTGAGATTTTCAAGATTTTTTAATATATTGATCTTATTTGCTCCCCACAACCACCCTATGAGATAAGCACTTCAGGTATTACTACTCCTTTTTTACAGATGAGGAAACTGAGGCCTAGAGAGATTAAATGATTTGCCTGTGGTCATACATTAAGTAAATATCTGAAGTGGGATTTGAACATAGGTCTCTCTTGGCTCCAGCTCTAACCCTCCTTCCACTATACCCTACTTCCTCTACATAGATGCAGTGAGCAAATATATGATAAATATGAACATAAACATAAACATTCCTACCTGCTTTATGACATTTTCACATGTTCATAGTAGACTCCAGATGGGGATTAAAAATGTAAAAAGTCTATAACAATGAAAAGGGAAATAATGTATGGATAGAGAGTGTGTGTATATACACACACATATACATATATACACACATGTATATACCAGTGTAATAGTAGTAGCAATAATAACAATAATAATTATAGATATTTGTCATTTTTTCAGATCTTCCCAAATGAAATTATCTCATTATTTGTAACTGTTAATTATTATTGTTTTTATTGCTGCTACTACTACTACTACTACTACACTGGCATATACACATATCTGTAAGGAAGATTTATCACAATATTTTAGTATCAATCTGAAATATTCAGTGGCAATAACACAGCTCCCATTCCCAACCTCCAAAGTTCTTCTGAATTACTGACTATATAGAATTGTTGTGATCTAAATACACATTTCTCTAGTTGTGTAGCTGTGCCTTTAAAAAAAAATAACCAGCTTACTATACACTTTTTTACGGCTATACCAATTGCTTGTTATTCAAATGAATGGGAAAGAAGATGCATGCTTCTGAAGATTTCCCAGAGGAAACTGTGATAACATACTTAATATGCATCAAATTTAAATCATAAATTCTGCAGCATTCTGTAGTAGTCAACATTATGCCCTCCATCTAGCCCCTTCCATGGGGATTTGAAACTGATGCTGAGTCCTCTCAACCTTCCTCATCTTCTTCTCAATGCTCTCCAGCATGGCAATATCCTTCCTAAAATGCAGTGCCAGGACGATTATCTCCCTCATACCATGTTTCTGTTTGTACCATCTAAGAGTGCATTCCTTTCTTTTTTCTTCAATATTGACTCCTATTGAGTTTGTGTTCCAGGTAATTTTCATATAAACTATTTTCCAGCTTGTATGAAGTTAATCTTTTGAACCTAGGTATATACCTTAAATTATTTACTCTTACATTTCACCTTATTAGATTCATCCATTTTGGATCCTGATTCTGTCATGGAAGGATGAAACCATAACATGGTTTCATGATCCATGAAACAAAGTGAAAGGCTTCGTGTTGAGGTCCATTAAATTTTATCTAATTAGAACTAGCCCATTTCTCTAGTCTAGTCAGGATCTTTTTGAATCCTGATTCTGCCATCTGGCCTATTAATGATCCCTCCCAGCTTCATGTTCTCTGTAAAGCTGATAAGCATGCCATCAGTCCCTTCACCCAAAGTATTGATAGACTGTTCTAGAGAGAATACAGCAAGCCGTATGTGGATTCATTCTTTGTAGCAGTGTTGTATGCTAAAAAGGACATAGTCCACCTCAGAAAGGAATGAATTCCCCCATCACTGGTGTTCATAGGATCACAGACAGAGCTGAAAGGGACCTTAGAGACATTGTCTAGTTAGACCCCTTCATTTTACAGGTGAGGAAACTGAGGCCCATAAGGGTAAAGTAACTTGTCTAAGGCAATACAGGTAGTTAATGGTAAACAGAAGCTGAATGATCACTTGTCAGGGAGGTTATAGGGGGGATTTTTGGTCAATAATAGTATTTCCTCTGAAACCCATTCCAGTTATGAGCTTGCGTGAGTATCTGAACTGCCCTTCAAAAATATCCTTTCATTGAAACACATCAGTGCCAAGTAGCCTTTAAATCATTCACCCCACTTTGGGAATTTTTCTGCCTATAATCCTCCAGAGATTTAATATGCAACAGAAACTGGACCTATAGACAAACAACCACCCCTTTTTTTTCATTTTTTGTCTTGCCCGCACAAAGTTAGAGAAATCGGGCCCTCCCATGATTCAAGCTTTCTGCAGGCTGCTGTTAAGTTGTGGAACCACGATTCAGCCTTTCTGGCTATTTTAGATAGACCAGTTGTGACTCTGAAGTAATATGACTGATTTAAAAAAAAATATTTAGCACAACTCACATAGGTGAGTGAGTGTTGTCACATCTATTCCTGCTGCATGGCTTCAGAACTCTGTGGTGCCCTATCTTAGCACTGTCTAGAAAGCCTGAAGCAAATTCTTTCAAATATACTCAGTGGCAAATTTTCATCCTCTTAGGCTTCAGTTCCATCAAACAAACTTTCTATATGCCAATATGCTATGCCAAAGATTCAGAGGCAAAAACTATAGGGCAGTCTCTGCCCTCTAAGAACTTACATTCTACTGGGTAGTTGTGACATGTATACAAGAAAATACAGAGTAGTTTCAGGAGCAAGAAAGTGCTAATAAGTAGGAGGATTAGTAGAGGCCTTGTGTAGATAGATGATGGGATCGGAGCTGTGCTTTGAAGGAAGCTAAGGATTCTTTGAAGTAGAGGTAAGGGAGGAGTACATTCCAGACATGGCGGGCCACGTGAGGAAAGGCACAGAGGAGGCTGAAAGATCATGTATATGTAACAGCCAGCAGGCCACTTGATTTTTTTGGAAACGGTTAAAAAATTATTGAGAGCTGAGTCTTATGGCTATAATAGATGATCAAGTGAGGTTTTACCACCTGGGGTGAAGGCCCAAGTATGACTGACTACAGATTAATAGGATTGTCTTGTGTCATTTATAAATTGACCATGGAGGCAATTTCAAAAGAGGAGTTCCAAAACTGTCTTGAGCAATCATTGTTCAAATGTATATTAGTTACAGTTAATGAGTAAAGTTATTGAGTTAGTTAGCTGCATATCCAACAATAACTGAAACATATGAATTCTAGATGTTTTAAAATGAACCTTGTTATTTTATAGTCATGCCTGGCAAAGACACACACATCAGATTGTAGTAACTTCTAGAGCTCAAACCTCCACATTTTCATCAAATCTCTTTTATTCCTTTATAAAGTGGTCAGGAGAATTGGATTTCTGATAATGACAAACAAATCTTCAGATTTAAAAGCCTCTTATGACTCAAAATGTGAAAGCTTTCAAGTCACAGGTTTTGTTTGGGTGATCCTTCTACTGTTTCAGGTTCTTGCTCAGTTGTTCACTTAATCATCTTCATTCCAGTCTTCCAAGGTGTGTTTTCTCACTTAAGAATGATTGTTCAGGACATGATCCAAGACGTGTCATTTTCCACTTTTGTGTCCCTAATACCTACGCCAGTGCTTTGCAGTTACTTAGTCAATATGTATTGCTGAAAATGCTATCAGACATACTGTTGTATGGTATCTCCACAAATGCTTTTGTCCATTGTTTTAAATCCTTGTGCTTCCATTGGTGATGTTACAAGCACTTTGAGAAATGTATTCATTTGTGTATATCATAGTAACAGATTACCATAGTGAAAAAGAGACCTGAATTAATGCCTTCACAAACTTTTAAACCAGAGGTTCTTAACCTTTCTTGAGCAGTTTAGTAATACCCCTCCTCAGAATAATGTTTTTTTAAATGCATATAAAATAAGATGCATGGGATACAAAAGAGGTTATAGGGTTAGTGAACATAAAGATCTAATTTTTTCCCATTCAAGTTCACAGACCCCCTGAACCCTGTGGTCCCCAGTTTAAGAAGCCCTACTCTAACCATGTTAATCACTGATTGGCTTTTCATTTTTATAAGAAGAAAAGCTTTAAAGATTAATGTTCCCACTTTATTGGCTTTCTCTAATGCAGAGAGATTTTTCCAGTGACCAATTAAGGTATAGGGTTAGAAGGTTGCTTGCTTATTTTGAGTTGGTGCATCTTACTTGGTCCAGTCTTTTCCAGAATCCATTAAAATGCCCATTTTAATCTGGAGAATTTGATTTCATGGATCCCATCTCTTCATACTTTCTTTAAAAAGTAAAATGGGCCAGTAAAATTTTTTTAATTGTTTATAATTTACATTGTTACAAAATGGTTAGGACAGCCAAATGGAGATTTAGTTGTAAATTCAGCAAATTCAATGGAGAACGTATTTGTCTTATGTAATTAGAAAGCAAAAAGATCACAACTTTAACATTTTTAAAAAGATGATGTAGAATATATCTTTCACTTCTTATTCTGACTATTATATAAATGGCTGTTGTTTTGCAGTTTGGTGATTTAAATGCTGTGTCCCCTGGAAATATGGATAAAGGTAAGTATTTAAATATTACACAAATGTTTTCTTGACTAAGGTATTCTTTTAAAAGTAGAAAAAATATAGAGAATTTGTGTACGCTGCCTTATTTTTTAAAGAATTAAACTCAGGGGTGGGACACCTGCAGCCTGAAGGCCACATGTGGCCCTCTAGATCCTCAAGTGGGACCCTTTGACTGAATCCAAACTTAACAAATCCCCTTAATAAAAAGGATTTGTTCTGTGAAGTTTGGATTCAGTCAAAGGGCCCCACTTGAGGACCTAGAGGGCCACATGTGGCCTCAAGGATGCAGGTTCCCCACCTATGGTAGGATGTTTTCCTTTAAAAGGATTTTGGATTCACTGAGTTTTACAGCTGTAAGGGAGTTTAAAGACCCCTCTGGTATAATCACTTCATTTTACAACTGAGGAAACTGAGGTGTGGGGAGGCTATATGACTTCCAATTCAAAATCCAGCTCTCTTTACCCTATAACATACTGCCTTCTCATAATGTCTTTGAACTTTACAACATTCACATTTGTCCTCATAACTACATACACACACACACACATACAGAGAAACTAAAAGCATAATTTTACTTGAAACTACCAATGAGGAAAGTCCCTATACTAATGCACTGCTCTAAAACTTACTCCTAGAGTTTTCTAAGAATATAGAAACACAATGCACTTTTCACTTTTATCTCACCATAATATTAATGGACAAGAACACCTTGTCTCTAATAGTTTGCCTCTCTGAATTTCCTGTAGTATGGTATCTCCCCGAAACTGAGGCCCAGGCTTATCACCCCACTTTAATGTACCCTAGAGATGGCCATAAATGTAGATACTAGAGCAATTGACAATCAAATTTATGGCCATCTCTAGGGTACAGTAAACTGGGATGATAACCCTGGGTCTCAGTTTAAGAGGGTACCATACTATGAAAAAAACCCAGGGAGGCAGTTCATAAGAAATGAGGTGACTTCATGAGATGGTGTTTATGAAATATAACAGAAGACCTGAGACTTTTATTAATGTTATGCCCCGAACTGTACCTTGCTCCACCCCACCCCCATCTCACAATCACCTGAAGTATCAGAATAGATAGGATTGATTCTCCACACACACACCCCCCACACACCACACACCCCAAATGTGGCCCTTTGTGCTATCTTTTTCCCTTAGAGGATATCCTGGATGTTTATCTTAATATGATTCCACCAGACCATTAGGAACCAGCAACCAGGTTGCTGCACACAGAAAATGATTATTAAATTATTTTCTGTACAGAATTTTAAAGGGTCACTATAGGACCCATATAACAGCGAGGAGACAAAACCACCAGAAGAAAAGCCACTGATTTGACTCTTCAGAGTGGGGAGCCAAGGAAATCATTTTCTCATTGTAGCCATTTGAACATTTCTTTTGACAGGGGCCTTTTAGGTTATGATACAAAGACAGATAGGTTTTTTTTTTTTTTTTTAGCCCTTTTTGGCCTGAGTCTTCATGATTTTTTGTTTGTACAGATGAAGGCAGTGAAGTTGAAAGTGAAATAGATGAAGAACTGGATGATTCTGCAGAGCCTCAAGCCAAAAGGGAGAAAACAGAGCTGAACCAAGCATTTCAGGTGGGCTGCCTACAGCCAGTCCTCGAGAGCGGAGTACAGCAGAACCTTCTGAATCCCATTCACAGTGAGCACATTGTCACAAGTACTCAGACTATCAGACAGTGCAGCGCCACTGGAAACACCTATACTGCAGTCTAACAAATATTAAAAGCTTATTTTTCCAGATTATATTTAACCCTGGTGATGTTGGGCTTAAGTTGACAAAAGAATAAGCCTGAAGGTCGACTGTTGTCAAATTCTATCTGTGCTGAACATTACCTTTTTTCGGAGTTGTGAAATGGAATGGGTGTATGTATTTTTGCCAGGTCTGTTTAATTTTTTTGTAAACAAATCATTTGCCTCTCAATATGAAGAGTTTTCTTAGTTTTGGGTGTCAAGAAGGATTTTTGCAAAGCTTAATGTCAATGTTTTTTGTCCTTTATAATTAAAAAAGTAATTTACATTTTTTCATAGTTTAAAAAATATGTTAATGTTAATTGTTAGTCATGGTGTATGATTTCATATGTAAGTTTTTTAATTAGGTGCACTTCTGTGAAATATCAAAAGAAACGAATTCCTTTGATTTACACTGGAGGCATATATTCATTTGACAGCAGATGCATCAAATTTGCTTCTGAAAGGTGCTTTTCATTGGACAGAACCATAAGACACTATTTTGATAATATTTTCTGAGTGTGGAGGGAGAATACAGAGCATTGTTATTATAATGCTAGAGGGTTGGGAAGGTCACCTATTTTTCTCTGAGGAAAAAAATTGAGCTGTGCATTTATCAGCATAGAATAAATGACAATTGCCAGAGATCATGTTGATGTGTACATAATATGTATGCATAATTATCAAACATGTTAACAATGCAAGCTTCCGTTAAACATTGAGTTTTAGATATTATTTGAGTACCAATCCCTCTGTTTGAATACTACTGAGTCTGTATTTGGGACCACTACACACAGATGCTTTCTGCTGTTAAGTGGAGATGTAGTTAGATACTGAAACTGAAAAAAGTAATGACTTTTTTTTATTATTATTTTAAATGTACATGCTACTTATGCTCAGCTGGACATACAGGAAACCATTCCATCTGGATGACTTTCTTCTATTCCAGGTCTTTTTTTTTTCCTAATAGTAGTTCAATGTGCTGCTATTCTAAAAGATAATTTATAGAATGCAAGGAATGTAGCAACCTGCTTCATTATTTCCTTCAAAAAAAAAAGATATTTCCTGGTTCCTAAAGTAAGTGGATTTAAATTTTAAGAAGAAAACTAAGGCAGTGTAACTGGCACACCTCACTTTTACTTATTCCCGACTCAGTAAGATTGGAGTAGGTGGCTAGATGGACCATTGCCATTTAAGAATGTACATCAGGGATCATTGTACCTCGGCTATTACATGGTGCCTTAAAAACAGAACTGAAGCTAAGGTTTAGTACTTTTTGTTAATATGAGTAACTCTGAAATCCATTTAATAAGGTGTGCCTGTCATTTTCCAATTTCCCGAAGTAAAGGCAGGTTACATATTCTTCAAAGGAAATTTAGGGTGGGGAGGGGGTTGGAGAAAGGGAGGTTTGAATACCTTTCTCCAAGTGATGGTAAACCTAGTTTTTCTTGTTTAGAACTGAATTTCACTTTCTTATAAATCAGATTTGCTTAGGGTTGTGGGGTAGCAGGCTAGTTTTAATACCAACTTGTGTCATTCGAAGTAGGGTTCCCATACCTCCAAGCAACATGACATTTTCTAAGCCCTCCTTGTCTCATTTTAATTTTAGAAAGTAAACAAAATGAGCAGGTACTTATCGCAGTGCATCTTTTTCAGTGTATGTGTGTGTCTATGTGTATGCTTGTGCTTGTGCACACACATGCGGGCGCTCATGTGTGAGCACAAAGGGGTATCCATCTGCCACCAGATTTGGAAGGTGAGCCTATCCCCATTATTATCAATGTGAAATAGTGCCACTGTGTTAAATCGTCCATCATTTTTGTTTGTTTGTTTGCTTGTTTGTTTTAAACGTGGGCACACCCATTTACTTAAGTAGTGAAAAATGAATAAGCAAAAAAACAAAAACAAAACAAGCCAAAAATGAGGGAAAGCACAAGAATTTGCAGATTCCTAATAAGGCCTATATACAATTAGATGGTTGAACTTACCCAGTTTGTCTGGGGGGGGGGGGGGGGTAGGGAGGAGCCAATCTGTCATGTTTACTATACCAAATGACTTAACTACACAAGCAATGAATGGTATATTTATTGCTTAATTTTCTTAGGCGCATCAAAAAACCAGTATCAACTGAATTTTCCTAATTAAATTTCAAACATTATAAATGTAAAAAGTTTTAAAATGGATTCATATATTATGCTATACAAATCAGGCATATTTTTGGAGTCTTCACTAGAACCATGGCTTTTTTTAAAAATCCTAATAGCATTTAAATGATCGTTGTTTTATTCCCTTCTAAATATCAACATGTTTGCACCCCTCACCAAAAAACTTAAGCTTCAATAAACATTTGTCCACTTCATTGTGCATTATGAAATGTTTACAAGTAAAATGAAGTGAAATTAAAATTAAAATGGCAAAAAAACTTTTCATTTTCAATATCAACAGTTTTTGTTTTTGTTTGTGAGCTGTTTGTTTTCCTTTAGTACTGATGTTCTGTACTAGACCAAATGTAATTATGACTTTCCTCCTATGTGCTGACAAACTTTAAATGCATTTTTTTTGGTCATTGTCCCTTTTCATTTTAATGGTGAATTTGTTTGTACCATTAGAGGCCTCTGGTTGCAACATGCAAATTTAGATGGAGATGAGAGGTATAGGGTCTTTGGAACCCTCCATGATTCACTTCTTCCCCTCATTGTTCACTGTTTTCTAAAGAAAAACATGGTAGATCCTAGCAAAATGAAGTCATTTTCCAACTTAATCCAATTAATTGCTTTCTGATCCACAATGTGAACAAGATTAAGAAGTTGAGTGCCAGAAATCTTTAATAGCAAAGAATGTGTACACACATGCACCAGCATTTCCCTTTGTGCCCTCCTCAATGGTCTGGATTTCACAGTGGGCTATAAATTTCTTACATAGAACCCCGAGGTCCAGTTTGACTGAGGGTATTCATTTGAAAGCCAAATTATAATCATTCACATGTCCAAAGAAACTGGAGCAATTGCATATTCATTGCATTGTTTGAAAGTCTTACTCCAGTTTTTATCATTTGTTGCTACTGGCATTTTTCTAAAAAACTTTGGACACTAGATCTCTGTCAACAGAGTCAAATATTTGTACATGGAGTATGGATTTAAAGAAAGGACTTCTTTCCATTTGACCTGGGGTTACAATCCAGTACTAATAAGCTGTAATCTGTAGATTTATAAGACTCTTATAATTTTATAATCTATAATGAATATCACATTATAATCCAAAATAACCTTATAATGGGGAAACTTCCTACTTTTTCAGAGAGCAGCATATAGGTAGAATCCACTAATTTGGGGGATTAATAAAAGGCATTTCTTGCCCTCAAGATTGAATATGATGAATTTTATTTGAGTTTGAAAACTATATTTACCCCAAAACTTTAGGATCCAAGAAAACAGTGAGCAATGGGGGTGGGGGTTAAATTGGCAAATTGTTTCTCCCTGGAATACACAGGGCTCAATTTTCAAAAGTTTTCTGTGGATACCATGTGTCATCATCAAAACTAAATCTGGAGTTGCTATACTGATCTTATTGCCCTTTCAATCTGTTTTCCTTTCTCTACTTATTCTTGTACCGTGCCGCACAGCTCGTGTCCCTCTTGCTAGATTCTGAACTTTAAGAAAATGGTTTTAATGCGGCGTGTGTAAAGTGAGTCATGTGCAGCATGCCCACCTCAGATTCATGAATGAGGGAAAACAAACATGTTCTCGTCTAGTGCTGGAAGCGTCCTTCAGGAATGTATGTGGTCTGTAGATGGTAACCATGATTACTTTCCCCTCAGCCCAGTCCCCACAAAGGGTGATTAAGGCACTTGTCCTTTCTTTTCAGATGATGTATTTAAAGTATCTGAAATGCTATGCTCTTGATGATTTGAGTGAAAAAAAATGTGTGTCAGTCACTGTGACATTTGGTCCTCACCATGTGGACACAAGTGAAAGGGGTCAGCAGTTCTTTTTCATCAGCAATTTGAAGAAGTGGTTATAACAATCAAGTTGACCCTGTGATATCGACCCCTCCCCCCTAAAAATTATGTTGAAATAATCCTTGAATTATTTTGATGTTTTGGTGATTACCAATTGTAAAATTTAGACAAAATCAATTCCAGAAAGTGGAAAAAAAGTTAATTTGGCATATGCAGTCATCTTCTCTGAAAATTGGGCCTTGTCTCTACAGAATAGGACAACCTCTGTGTATACAGTTAGAACAAGTCAATGAGTGGGATCTGAGTGTTTCTGCTAGTTTGGTGATTTGAAGAAAACTGGGATAGGAGCATAACTCAGTGCTTAGTTCTAGTGTTAGAAAAATCCATTTGATGTAATTAGTACCTTGTATTAACCCTTTGAGCATTGTAAGATATACAATGGGGACAAAAGCCTTTCGGATCATTTATTTAGACTAGTCTGGTAAAGAGACTCTATTATATCCAAATGTCTAATTGTACCATTTTTAAGAGAGAGGGGGAAAAAAAAAAGTGTTTCCAGACTAAATACTTGCATTTTCTATACATTTTATAATTTTCTGGAAGAGGGCTCAAGATACTTATTCCGAAATAGTCACTGCCATCCAAGTTCTGTGTACTGTTTACAACAAACTAGAACTTTCACTTTTTCATAACGTGTAAATATCTAGGAAAGGGGGACAAATCTGTGGGCCTGTACACCTATGTCATAGCTAAAAGCCACACATGGAAGGTACTTAGATTGCCTTGAAAAGGTAGGATACAAAAAAAAAAAGCTGAATCTGAATTTTTGGACTTATTTTTTAAAGTTTAATTTACTTAGCACTGCAATGTACAACTCTTTGTGAAGCCTTAGGAATGAAAGAGGAGTTTTAGTAATGAAAGAAAAGATAACTATTGCCAGGCAGTTAGGCGGATCACCGCTACATCTTTCACAGAATAACGTTTGGGAATGCATCCATAATGGACATAATTTTATTCATGCTATGATTCTTTTGTATTTTGTCATAAAGGTCATATGTAGATAGAATGGAGAGTAATGGTACTTGATTTAGGCTCATCTGTCAAGGGATGCTATGCTATGTATACTGCTTCTGACATCTGCAGATGTCAGTCTACTATACAGCAGCTGATTCTGTTCAAGGATACTCTTGGTGCACTTGGTCCCCTCTGTCCCCTGTTCTCATCAGGCCCAAGAATGGGGTTGCCAGCAGAGATGTTGGCCTGGCAGGGTGCAGAGAA